CACTTTTAAAAAAAAAATTATATATCATTTTAAAAAAAATTATATATCACTTTTCAAAAATATTATTATATATCACTTTTAAAAAATAAAATTATACATTATTTTTCAAAAAAATGTAAAATTACATATAATTTTTTAAAATATAAAATTATATATTTTCATTCTAAAAAAATAAAAATTACACAATACACCAAAAAGATAACAGAAATACACCAAACACCACAAAATACTACAGGGGGGTTTGGGGATGAGTTGGAGCCCCTCCCCCAATTTTTGCATATGCAGTGGGTTGGAGAAGACCTGATACTTATAGAAAGATATTTGTATAAAAACTTATACAAATATAAGGATATGTTTAATGTTAAATACAATAACGCAAAAAGGTAAATGAGACCCTTAGAGACAGACGTAATTAATATTTTCTTTTAAAAAAAAGTGGCTCTTACTTAAATACCAAAATACTCTTTTTTTTTGCTTTTTCACGTTACTTTTACTTTAATGTCAAGGGTAAAATGAATATTGCACTATTTTATTACACTATATCAATTTATAAAATACTAATTTTCCTTGACTTGAATGCAAAAATTAAATAAAAAAACTACTTTTGCACAAAGGGAAATAACATTTTTAATATAAATCAATTTAAATGTTATTGTCTTTTGATTCATCAAATTCTTAACAATTTATCTCTTTAAATTTACATATATCTCATAAAAATAAAATAAACAATATCCAATATAATACTCCTTCTCGCCCAAAAGTAAGTTTAAGTAAAAAAAAAATTACTACTTCTATCCATCGTCAATCTATCCATTTACTTTTTACATCTTAATTTTTGAATATTAATCATTATATCAAAACATAGTACAAATAAAAAACAAATGACAAAAATATTTGTATTGGTGTCTTATAATACTAATGTAATAAAATTTGTACAAAAAATTATATTAATATAAGGATATTTTTAATATTAAAAACAATGACGCAAAATGCAAATAAATAGATTGGCGGTGGACGGAGGTAGTATTTCTTTTTGTTAAAAAATTAACTATCAACTAAATACGAAATATCCTTATTTTTTACATTTTACGTTATTTTTACTTTAATACCAAGAGAAAAATAGATATTACACTACATATTTATGAAATACTAATATACTTTAATTCGCGTGCAAAAATTAAATAAAAAACCTACACCCAATGGAGAAAATATTAAATTTTTACACATTCGAAATAACTATAAAATTAATGTTTTATTATTATAAATACTTCTTCCGTCCCGGTAAAGATGATGCCTTTTATTTGGACACGGGAATTTAAATAGTATAGATTAGTTATTGGATGTGGATCCCTGATGCCAATGCTATCATGATGCTGATTTAATTTCATTCATTAATTAAATTTGATATAAAATTAATGATGTAAATTAAATAAAGGTAAAATTGACTTTTTATGTAAAATATTTTATCTAATTCAGATTTTTTAGGATAATTATTTATGATTATTTTATATTGTGGTTCACGTCACTGCTGTCGTCTACGCTGCCACCACTGCCACTGCTGTCGTCTACGAGGTTGCTGCCGCTGCCATCGCCGTTGTCCTGGCGGTGATCTCTATTCTCTGGGAGTGTGTGTGGACTTGATTGATTGGTAGAAACTCATTTGTGGTGGATGGTAGATCGCTGGTGTTGAGCAATGCGATGGTGAGTGGTAATTTGCGTTCAAGTAGTATGAGATGATTGAGCGGAGGGCGGCAGCGATGGTGGAAGAAGGGTAGTGATAGTGATCGGAAGAGTATTGAAAAAGTATGTGATGACAACTGATGTCGTACTGAATAATATAATATAAAATGCTCTTTCATGCACACATAAATGTTGAAATTAATTAAACAAAATGTTGATTTACTTTAATTAACAATAATCTACGTATTTTTATGCAACAATAAATGTTGAATTTTTTATGCATCTTAAATCTAACTACAAACTCCTATTATATGCACACGTACACTATAAATTGTAAGCAACATCTGGTTTTGTTAATTCTATTGCATGTCAATCAATTAATCATGTTTATATTAGATGCTGAAAATTATCAAACAATATGTTGTTTATTGAATAATAAAATGTTGTCACACATTTTAGAAAATGCTGATTGTTGTATAAGTATAATATAATATGAAATGCTCTCTCATGCACACGAAAATGCTAAATTCAATTGAACGATATGTTAAAAAATTTTTAATTAACAATAATATAAGTATTTTTATACAATAATGAATGCTGAAATTTTTCTAGATCTTAATCTTGACTACAAACTCCTACTATGTGCATACTCATAATAAAAATTATAAAATTTTATTAATTTCATTGTATGTCAATCAATTGATCATGTTTATATCAGATGCTGAAAAACGTCAAACAATATGTTGTTTATTAAGTATTAAAATGTTGTCACACATTTTAAGGAATGTTGAGTTTTGTATCGAGTTGTATAATATAGTATGAAATGCTTTCTATGCATACGTAAATGTTAAATTCAAGATGCTAATTTATTTTAATTAATAGTAGTTTATATATTTTGATATAATAACGATCACTAATGTATATTATTCAAAATTTTAATAGATGCAAACGAGATTTTGATATTTGGTTGTTATAGAGATTTTGAAAATTTATGAAATAATCAGGTTGTTGAGCTAATGAGATGAAATATCTGAAATTTTTATTTATTCGATGTCTCCGTTGCTTTTTGAGGAATTTATTGAGGTTGATATAATGACAAATAGATTTTCCTCGTCTTTATCGATCTTATTCAAAATTTTGTTGAAAGATTATGTTTTTTTTTTTTTCTTTTTTGGAGTTGAAATTACAAAAGGAGATAGATAAATTACTTTTATACCTCTAAATTAATATAAACCTTTAGATTAACTTTTATAATTCAAAGACTATTAATGAATTAGCATGATGCTGAATATTAGGTTTCAGCATGAAATCCCAACTCAATAGTAAACTATTAACTATATCATAAAAGATTTGGTTTCATTTGACTCAAATAGGTAGGGCTTGTTTCTTTAGCCCAAGTTTGAGCATTTTCAGTGTTTGCCCAAACTTGGGCTGTTTGTGTTTTGGGGAACAGAGTCAAAAAAGCTTTGTCTTTTTTTTTTTAATAAAATTTTTAAAATTATAAATATAAAAAAAATTATAATAATTATAATTGAATAAAATATAGTAGAGAATAAAATTTTTTATAATATAAATAAATAAAAATTTATAAATATATATGTATATTTATAAAATATATTTATATATTTTATACAAATTAATACACATCTATATTATTATGGATCTGTTGTCTACCGTTTGGCCGACCCCAACTGCAGCAGATTTGACTTTATTTATTTATTCATTTTTTAAATTAAAATATATGTATTTCTTTTGGTTGAGTTTGAAAAATTTTAATTTAAATTTGGTATTAAAATAATGTTTGATGGGATGTTTTGTGAGAGAAAAAAATATATTTTTTTCAAAAAAAATGCAAATTTGGGAAAATTGGAGTAAAGTGTATTAATTATAAGGGAAAAATGTATTTTTTTTCCCTTAATATTTATTATAATTATAAGGGAAAAAAATATATACAATATATATGTGATTTTGTAGAGAATAAAGTTTTCTATAATACAAATAAATAAAAATTTAAATATATATACGTTAGGTATAATATAAATTCATAATCAAATTATACAATATAAATTTTATCAATTAAATTTAATACATATTTATATTATTTTATTCATTATCCATCAAATCAATACACATCAAAACTCCCAAAACCCCAACCAAACTCAAATACAAAAGAAACAACAAAATTCAAACTCATCCTAAAATTCAAATAAAAACCAAATCCAAATTCAAATTTCCCCAAATCCCCCCAAAAAAAACACACCCGTAATATATAGAATATAGATTATTATTTTTAGAAAAAGAATTTCTTGTATTCCGAGTTCCTACGGCCATGCAGAATCGCCTCTAATTTTCAAATATTGATGCGTTTCCAAAACCGTGTCCATTCATCTATACGGCCATACAATATTCTTTTCTGAAAAATAACACTCCAAAATCCAATCAAGGTTTTTTTTTTTTTTTCAAAAAATAATTTATTTTAATTGAAAAAAAAATTTCTATAAAATACAATTATATTTCTATTTCTTAAAATGTTATTTTATTTATAAAAAAAATTAAAAATACTATATTATAATTATTACCTATGAAATGAATATATAATAAAATCTTGAAGCTCAAATCAATCTTAAAATTAAAAAATAATTCAAATCAAAATCAATTTTTAGTAACTCACCCTAAAAATAGCATACACTCATAATGTAGAGATGATTTAGGAAGAAAGACTTAAGGTGTGTTTGTTTGGGGGATTGGATTGAATTTACACTATTCATCTAATTTTTTCCCCCAAAAACATCAAATCAAACACTTATTTTTTTATTTTTTATATTATACTAAAAAATTAATTTTACATTCAAAATATCACATCAATACCTATTTATATCACATCATACAACTATTCAAATTCAAAATTTTTACTATTCAAATCCCAACTTAAAATCCAAACCGCAAAACAAACACACCCTTAGATGAACTCCTATGACTCCATATTCTTATTCCAATTTTCATGTAAATTTTTTGATAGGCAAGCTGACTTAGTAGAGGTCATCACATTTTGCAGCTACCCTTTATCTCTCTCTCTAATATATTTTCCCAATTATAAGACTATTTTCTACATGCATTCTTGAAATAGCTTTTCTTGGATCATCTCATGGTATATTTCTTTTGATGAGTTTGAAAAAAAATTGATTTGAATTTGGTATTAAAATAATATATGATGAGATATTTTGTAAGAATAAAATATATAATTTTTTTCGAAAAATACAGAGTTAAAATAGTAGAAATCTGAAATTTGTGATAAAACGAACAAACCTTGTGGTTGTTTTTATCCCATCATTCACTGATGAAAACTTTGCCTAGAAGAGACCTATATTGTAACTGAATGTCTGTTTTCTCCATGTTACCAATCAATCAAGATTCTATACAATGGCATAAAACCACAACACACAAAACATTAAACTTCTGATCTAAATGGGCAGAGTTTGAAACAAGCTGTCTAAATATAAATACCACAGTCAAGCCAGCTAATCGAACAAGCTGTCCTGGGAAGCAAACTGCAAATCCTGTTGAGCATTAGAACAAGTTAAACATGTTAGGCCGGCATCGAACCGATCTTGAAATTGAGACAGGAGAGTAAAAAAGGGGAGATCGAAGCTTACACTAAGCTGGAAATCCGGTGGACTATCCAAGTCTAAGTTATCAAGATCGCCGATGCCATAGACATCTGCAGCTGCTGTCGACGATTTCAGATCCAGACAAGAATCCATCATCTTGTTGGTGCACATTTCAGACAGCCCTTCCAATTTGGTGCCAAGATCATCATCATCATCAACATGCTCAAATTCACCAGCTAAGGCTTCATCCTGCAACTTGGAACTCAAGCTAGCCTCTTTGAAATAATTTGTTTCCTACACAATATGGAGAAATCGTCGTTGGACACAAACTCGAGCAAAAATGGATAGTAGAATTTGGTACTGACCGGAAGAGGCGATTGTAGTAAATGATAATCATCTGAAGCATAGACAGGAGGGGGAGGAGTGTTTGTCTTAGGAGTCTTCGGATCAATCACTTGAGTCGTCGTTGTTACTACACAATCACGATCTTCGATTTCCAAACTACTTACATTACTCTCATTCTCCTTGATCTGATAGAAAATCTTTGAAACCACAAACTCTCCTTCTTTCTCATCTTCGTCTGCGCCGAGATGGAACTGATGCATGATCCAATTACATTTTCCGGGCTTGGATCCGCGTGCGGATGTGGCATACAGAACCATGATCTTCTTGAAACCTTTCAGAACTCCATTTTCGACAACCATTTTTGTCTTGCCCGTCTTGTGCCAACGAACGTGTGCGGCCTTTGGGTCTTGAATGCGTCGACGCTTCCTCTGACCAGTCGAATATGCATTAGCTATTCTGTAGAAGAAGTGGATACTGCTCCCATCTTTTTTGGCTCCTACATTGCATAATCATTTAAGGATCACTACTATCTTCTAACATCTTTTTAACAATGTCGATGTCTAAACCTCAATTGTGGCAACGCATCCATCAATGTTCGACTGTTGACTCACCTGGAAGATTCTCTGGATGGGCATAGCATATCCCATTGTCGCTTTCAAGTGTCGGAATGAATTCGTCGATGAGTAGCTCGGGTTTTACATTCCCTATTCCACACTTTGCAGCTAAATGATTTAACAGCTCAATGTCCGAAGGATCAAACTTGATCCCGGTCGGTAGGCAGGGCAAACCATGAGAAACCTGAATCGAAAACTAATCTTTAGATGTTTACTTTCACTAGCAGAAACTGTATTGATTGCTATATTACAACATAAACATTTTAACAGCTATAAAAACGCTCGATCATATGTCAGACTTACATTGCTGTTCAGACCGGCATTTTTCACCATCCTCGCAAGTCCTCGACCATCAATAAGCCATTGCCTGCATTGTTACAGAAACATTAGGCCATATCCAACACTGCAATAATTTCAACTTGCATTGGCAAGAAACTCAAAAACATTACATCAGCCAAAATAGAATCTGTTTGGCAAGAAACCATAGAACTAAGTACATAATATAAATTTAGTCAAGACAGAGAGATTTTATCTACCAAGTATTGTTTTGTTCACTTGTTTCTTCCCATTTATAGAAACATCGAATCATTCTAACCTAAAATATAGCCAGCATTGATGTCACACTGCACCCATCAATCTCATCCCATTCCGAAACAAGCAAAGAATAGAAGACACAAATATATATATCTAGAGAGAGAGAGAGAGAGAATAGGATCAGGCAGCCCTAAAATCAGTGGACACCAGTGTTGAAAAGGGGAATTTTGATGAGCTCTCATGATCTCAGGTATGTTAATCGGTTTCCCATTATAATCAACAGCAGCTTAAAATCCAGGGAAAGCGAAACACATACAGAGTAGAGTTTCATGGAAGCAAAAATATCATCTTCTTCGCATACATACATACATATTTTTGCCGAGGACAGGCGAGAAATTGTGGACTGCAAATAATAGTTAAAATCAAATCTCCAGATAGTTGATTAAGAATTACCTATCCATTCAAACCTACGAAGAATCAGCTCATAATTTCAGGTAAGAGCGAAGTTATGTGGAATCTGACAGAGAGCAAATATATATCTAACGACGACGGAGAGAAAAAGGAAGAAAATCTGAGGTGAGCAGAGCAGAGCTAAAACAGCGGGAAGGAAGCTGGGGTGCGAGCGACCGGCATTTTCCCTCCTTTCTTCTCCACTCGGTTAAGTAACAGAAGCTGCTACATACTTTAAAACTATTTGAGTATTCAAGAAAAATAAAATTATACTAGTAAACAAATAATGAAAATACAAATTAATTTTTAGATATAAATTTTTATTTTTTTATTAAAATAATTAAATTTATAAATTATAATATAAAAATATACAAATTTTAATTTTACTAGCAATATTCTGTCTCTTGATTTTTATTATTTTTTCTTTTACACTTTCTCGTTTTAATTTGTTGGAACATAGAACAAATACACGGTTACCGCGGGACCCGCGCGTTGACCGAAGCTGAGTCCGAACCTGGGAGCTTCTATTACAAGATGAATGATAACGCAAATTTTATGGAAAGGAGATTCAGGGTGGTGACGTCATGACTTTCTCCCCAAGCTTTACCGTGAAACCAAAAAATACTTGCTAATGCATTATGATTTTAGTTTGATTTTATTTATTTATTTATTAAATTGCTATTATTATTATTTTTCATAAAAAAATATTACTACAATCTATGAGTGTGTTTCTTGCGATAAAGTTTGAAAAAAAAAATGATTTAAATTTAGTATGAAAATAATATTTGATGTGATGTTTTATGAGATAAAAAAAATATAATTTTTTCGAAAAACGCAGAATTCAAACAGTAAGATTCGAGGAAACTGGCTTAAAAGAAACATAAAATGATCCTAAAAATCATAACTAGAGATTAAAATAAATTTAAAAGAACCTTCTCATTTAATGTTTTATTACATAATATTAGGCAAAACAGCAAAAACCTCCATGTGTTTCCGAAAATTGCTGAAAACCCCTCGTGGTTCTAAAACTCCAAAAAATTTACTTGTGGTTTCCAAAATATTGCAAAAAAATCCCCCCTCCGTTAGGATTTAACAGAGGTTGTATAGCACGCGCCTGAAATGCGATTTTTGGTCCATAGAGTGATATTTCTGTATAAAATTACTAAAATACCCTAACGACTACTTTTTACCTTCTTCCTCCTTCTTCTTCTTCCTTATTCTTCTTCTTTCTTATTCTTCCTCGTTCATTCTTCTTTCTTCTTCCTTGTTCTTCTTCTTTCTTACCAAACCCAGAATTACTTTCTTCTGTTTTTACAAACCTAAAAATCTAAAAATTAAATTTGACATCAAAATTTGAAATCAATCTAAGAAGAAAAAAGAACTTGCTGCTCGTTGCAACCGTGTACGAAAGAATTAGGGAGAAAAAATAAAGAAGAAAAAAAATTGGAGAAAAATAGATAGAGAAAAAAAAAATAGGAGAAAAAAAAACCTCGATGCCTTCTTTCTCATCTTCTTCTTTCTCTTCTTTCTTTATTCTCTTTCTTTTCTTTCTTCCTTTTTCCCTGCTCCAGCCGCTTCCGTCCGTCATCTTCTTTCTCTTCTTATGTTTTTTCCAATTCTTCATTCTTTAAAGAACAATCGGAGATGAAGAAGAAAAAAAATTGGGGGAAAAAGAAGAAAAGGCGTGAAAAAGAATTGGAGAAGAAAAAAAGAAAAATTGAGGAAAAATAAGAAAAGAAAGAAGTGGAACTGTTATGGCTTGAAAAGGAATTGGAGAAGAAGAAGAGAAAAATTGAGGAAAAAAATGTGTGAAAAGAATTTGGGGAAGAAAAGAAGATGGAAGAAAGAAGTTAGAGAGAAGAGAAGAAGAAAGAACAGAAGAGAGAAACACAGAGGCATAACGGTCTGATAGGGTAAAAATTTAACGCCGTCAATGTGATTTAAAGGGAGGGGGCGAGTGTGCAACGTTTTATAAACCACGAGTAGGTTTTTTGGAGTTTTAGGACCACGGGGGTTTTCAACAGATTAGGTAAACCACGGGAGAGTTTTTTGCTGTTTTGCCCATAATATTATGATTTATTATAATAATATGTATTGTTCAATATTTAACTTAAAATCAACATACAAAATATAAATAGAGTCAAATAAACAATCCTTATCTTTTTTTTTTTTTTTTTTTTTTTACTATTTTTTTTCTATTTTGAAAACTAAAATAAGGATATATTTTGTATTTTAATAAAATGTATAAAATACTTTATATTTTATTTATTATATAAAAGTTTTTTTTATCTTAAATTAAAATATGTTCAAAACACTCTCTTCATACAAATGTAGTGTTTTGATGTAAATGCATACCTAAATATGCAACTTATATATAAAGTATTTTAAATATTATTTGATTTGATGTTTAAAATATTATCCCCGGATGGCCCGGTGGTGTAGGGTTGGACTTGTCACCTGAAAACAAACGAACATATTTCTCTAAAAAAATTTATTATTATATTTATTATTTTTATATTATTTATACAATTTTTTTTTATATTTTACATTAAAAAAAATTTCAAATTATTTTATAAAACAAACAAATTCTAAATAATTTATCAATCATTTGTGTAATAATTTTGTGAGACTAACTATTACCTAATTTTCAAAAAAAAAAAAAAACTATAAATTTAGGAATTAATTATTTATTTATTTTATTCAAATAATATTATTTTTATTTATATAAAACTTGCATAATTAGATATATTTTTACAACGAAATATCAATTTTGGACGAATTAAGTTTCTATGCACACTTTATTTGTTAAATAAAGTTTGACAAAATAAATAAAATATAATTTATTTAGTAAACTTATACTAAAATTCTAAAATATATTATGAACTTTACTCTTAAAATAATGAAAACAAGAATATTAAATATTATTCTATCTGCCACATCTAATTAATCTAATTTTCTACTTTAGGGTTATTATACGTAAATAAAAAAAATTTCATTTATAGTTCTTGTAGTCTATACTCAATTATTAATTTAGTTTTATTTCCAAAAATATCATCATATTTTATTTTATTTTTTTATTTCATTAAATTTAATAGTATTATAAAACTTTCCATCTTAAACAAATTCATTTATTAATATAATACTTTTTCCATCATAAAAAAATTATTCATGTGATTAAGTAGGAGTTTTTATAAAAATGAATAATAATACTACTTTCGTTTCTATCATTATTTTTTACATCATTATATTTAACATAAAAAATATCTATATAATTATATTATTTACTTCACAAATGTCATTGTATTTGTATTATAAAAAACTAATAGAGATATTTTTGTATTTTTTTTTTTTTAACAAGAGCACCGTTGACTTTTTGTGTATTGATTTTTTAATGTTAATGTTAAATTGGTTTGTAGTAAAAATAAAATAAAATTGTCCTTGTTAGTACGGTGTAATATAAAAGTAACGACACTTGCGTACTATATTAGATAGGCGGTACGCTTACTAAATTAAGAAATGATACCTTTATTTTGGAATTTACAAAAAATAGAAAATTATATCGTTCCTATAAGACGGAGAAAGTATAATAATCAATATTTAAAGATCTACGTATAAAAAAACTAATAATACTTATTTTTTAGACAGAGATAATAATAATTTTTTATAGCAAAAAAAAGTACATAAATAATATTTTTTACTAAAAAACAACAACAATTTTTTCATGATAATTAAAAGGTAAACATAAATTTAAATAATAAAAAGTTATTATTTATTAATCTATTATAAAAATTAATAAGACATGTGTGTTTGTTTGGAGATTCTCCTCCAAATAAACTATTTATTCATTTTTTTTAAAAAAAAAATATCAAATCAAATACTTATTTTTTATTTTTTATTATACTAAAAATTAATTTTTATATTCAAAATATTACATCAACACTTATTTATATCGAATTATACTACTATTCAAATTCAAAAATTTTACTATTTAAATCTCAATTCAAAATCCAATCCCTCGAACAAACAGACCTGAATCATGAGAAAAGTACAAATAAATATTTATGTTGTGTTAAATGTAATTTTAATATTTAAAAAAGTATTTAATATAATATTTAATATAATAATAATAATAATAATAATAATAATAAACAAATGATTCATCCCATAAAATTTGTGCTTCCTTTTTATTTAAGTCAATGTGTCAAATTTACATCTATATAATATAGTAGCCGTTACGATGATTACAGTACTGTTGCTGATATTACATTGTGTGTTTATAGATAATATACTGGTAAAATATATTTAGAAGCAATATATTATATTTATGGTAGTTATCTTATTTAAGAGATTCATAGAATTATTGTCTTATTTAGATAATTTATATATTTCACTATAAATATATACGTATTCTTATGATTGAAATAGAGAATTTCAGTTTTATATTCTAACATGAGCCAAATTCTCTCCGGGTACCTCCATAACTCGTTTTATCTCGTATATATTTTTATATTTTATTAATGTATTTGCTTTTTATCCACAATCATGTTGTTATTTTCATGTCGTCTCTGCCTCCACTACTCCACTGATAGAGTCTACTTTCAATTCTAATGCCGTGGAGAGTCTTGTTTTCGACTCTAACTCTATTGAGAGCGAGGGAGTCTTGTTTCCGACTCTAGTTTGTTGTAAACAAGTGAGTCATGTTTCCGACTCTAGCTCTATAGAGTGAGCGAGTCTTGTTTTCGGCTTTAGTTTTGTTGTGAACGAGCGAGTCCTGTTTTCAACTCTAACGGTATTGAGACTTCTGCTTTTGACTCTGATCCAATGGACGGCTACACCACTTTCTGTCAATTTTGGTGAAGTCAAATTCGTACGTGGAAGATCTCGGCTATATCTTTTTCGGCCACTTCTGACAAACTCAAGTTTGTTCCATCATATCTTGAGTTTGAAGAGGGGTATTAAAATATATTTAGAAGCAATATATTATATTTATGGTAGTTATCTTATTTAAGAGATTGGTAGGATTATTGTCTAATTTAGACGATTTATATATCACTATAAATATGTACGTATTCTTATGATTGAAATAGAAAATTTCAGTTTTATATTCTAACATATACGATATTATTCCAGACAATAACATATTGTTTATATTAATATAATACAAATAAAATATATGATATAATCTTATAAACTCAT